CAAAAAAAAAAAAGAAAATTTATTTTTGCTTAATTTTTTCCCTTATATCCCTTGGCCATAGACCTCTTTTCTTGTTTTGCCTCCAAATTGTTGCAGACTATAATGCAGAGAACTGTGTCAACAAAAAAAATTACAATGTCAGTTTAAAATGTATTTTTATTGGCCACTGCATCACATATACTTGTAATTTCACAAGTGATGACTCAAATGGGGTTAATTCAAAATTGAATCTATGGGATTCATCGTGGGACATAACTTTCAATGGTCAAAAAAATTAGTTGTGTCTTTAGGCATTATTATTTTAGTGCGTAAGTTTATTATCTAGTGTTTGCATATATTAATATTAATGTATACATCATATGACACAACCAGCGTTGGCAATTACAAAGTCGCGGACCCTGAATAGATTAAAGACTAATGTCACTTGCTAAGACTAAACACAAGAAAATTGGATTTGGTGAGCCTTTTTAACTTTTTCTTTTCTTTTTTGGTGTTTCACTACATAATTCACCCTACTATACAGTATATTAGTCGAGGTAAATTATTTCAATATCTTTTCACCTTTTGTCTAGCAATTTTCCGAGACATGATTACATTCATGGTTTAAAATTGGTGCGAATGTCAACCCGACAAGGTCACCAGTTCAATGAGTTAGCGTTTTAGCTGCAGGTTCATTGGTTTGAACTAGAGATATATAATGTAGTAAAAATAATTTATTTGAATTATTAAAAATAATATAGTTATTGAATTGGTTGTTGAATCGCCGATTGAACTTCCAGTTTTTTAAGATAAGGGATGAGGGTTTCTCCCCATCCGATGGTTAGTCCAGCAAGTTGATTGATTGAACCACCAGGTTAGACTGAATTTAATAATTATGATTAGATTGTTCTAGAGAGATGTTCTAGAATTGGATCATAAGGGAGAGGTTGGATTGGGGATAGTAAAACGGAAAAGATTGTAAGTAAGAGATCCCGAATTCAATATCTCCCACTTATTAAAAAAAACAACAACAACAACATTGGATTACAAAGTTTCCCACATTTTACCCCATTTAATTTTGTGATCTCCATAAATTGTTGAAATTGCACAACGTATTTTCTAGTTATTTTTTATTATACATCTGCTAGGTGCACTGTTAATCAAGAGAGACTTCGGTTGTATTTCTCCTACTTGTACCAAAACTTTGATCGAATTATGCAGGAGCTTGAGAACTACAGGGTTAAGTTTTGGATTTAACTGGGTTTATGCAAAAACATTCATTATTTATTTCCTTGTGAGAGAAAAATTATCTTCTCATGGTTCTACAGTAATTTTGATTTCCCATATTGATCTCATGAAGTTTTCTATAGGCATTTAAAATATAAAAATATACATTTGAATTGTCATCTTGTCCTATTTTAGTATCAAATTGCCTAAAAATTTTGATTGAAAATGTGAATTAAGCATACTTATTTAACGGTTATACTTTGTGCTCATTCATGGATTTTGAGCAAACCTTTAAGTCTACACATTATCAATTAGTCTCATAAGACATCTAAACTTAATTGTTTATTAAAAAAGCAATCCTACTGAAATATATGGAAGATGTCAAATTAAAATTGAGAAAACTATAAAGTTTAGATGGCACATATATAATTGATATACTAGCATGTATAATAATTAAATTTGGATATTGAGGGTGCTCACCTCGGCCACCCCGCGTGTCCGAGGTGAAGTCACCTCGTCCTTCTTCAGAGTCCATCCATGTCTTGGGCATCGTCCCTGACTTCGGCCGGATCCGTAGTCAACCGTGTAGGTGACCTCGGCACCTCCACCTCGGCTGCACGCTGATGATGTCAACCCATCTGACATCATCCAAGACCAGTACTTTATCTGAAAAGCACTGGGAGCACTTAATGGCACCTGCACCATATCCTCCGTCATCACTCCCAGGCGGCTACAGTGTCAGAGTCAGACCTTCCTGACAGGAGACAGAGCCGTAATGTCAGAGTGGGTCCCACTAGCATGAGTCCAGAGCCTCGCCTCTACTCTCCTATAAATACCTCACTCACACTCCCACCAAGTAAGCATACACTGTTCATTAACTCATATTCTCATTATTCTCGTTCTCATACTAACTTGATCGTCGGAGTGATCCCAGGGGAGAAGCCCCGCCATCCACTTCGGACAAGAGGTTGACTTCGGACACAAGAGTTCACCTCACTCACCTCAGAGAGGACTGATCAGGTTGGTCGTTACCAACCAAAAATCACCTCTTCAATTGGCGCCGTCTGTGGGAACGAGATCACTACTAAAAATGAGATCCACGCGCTCAGAAGCGGAAGGATTCCCTCAACAGGGGCTGGGCAGACCTCGGGAGCCCAGCAAGACCGCATCTCTGAAGAAGCAAGGGTCCCAAAGAACCCGGTCCAACAACGATGATGCCATCGCCAAGATGGCCGAGTTCGTATCGCACAACCCTACCATTTGAGGAGCTAGGGAGGTACCTCAAGAGGCAGGGAAAGAAAAGGCCGAGTCTTCCAAGAGGAGGCCGACGAAGTCCCTGAAGTGCCCTCAGATGAGGACTCTGATGAGGGGCGTCTCTCACGGAGTACCTCCAGACGCGCCTCCTCCAAGGCGACTTCTAAACTAGCCTCCATCTCCCGGGCGTTTTCCCGGGACTGCTAGGGAAGCGAGCTAAGGACCCACCTCGGCGTCCCGGGGGCCTGGCTTCGGACTACATGAGAACTCCGCCCTTTACGGATGACATCAATGGGGAAAGGGTGCCCCCGAACTTCAAGCTTCCAAACTTGCATACCTATGACGGCCGAGGTGACCCCGAGGATCACCTCCGCTCCTTCATCTCCGCATTCCGACTCTACTGCGTCCCCGACGCCGTGATTTGTGGGCTTTCCCCATTTTCCTACATGGGACTGCCCGGAAGTGGTTCTGGAGTTTGGAACCGGGAGCATTTCCTCCCTGGATGAGCTGATAGACCGGTTCATCCACCGCTTCGTGTCGTCTCGACCAATCACGAAGACTTCAGCTTATCTCTTGAACCTTCAACAGGGTCAGGGCGAGTCTCTTCGCTCGTATGCTCAAAGGTTCAACGAGGCAGAATGTGCAAATACCTGATCAGAATGAGCAGGTAACTCTCGCGGCCTTTACCAACGTTGGTGGCCGGACTCTTCAACACCGAAATCCATCGGGATTACCCCCGTACACTTCACGAACTCTGGGAAAGAGTGGACCAGGGAATCCGAAGTGAAGATGTGAATCGCATGAAGCGAGAAGCCCAAGCCTCTCGTACGGGACAAGATACCCGGAGAAGGAAAGACATCGGCCGAGGTGAACCCGGCCCAAATGGCACTTCAAACCCACCCCGGGACCGCCGGAGTGTCTTCGACCGGATCGTAAAAGGAAGATCATCCACCTCGGACGCTGAGCTGACACCGCTCAATTCCAGCCGATCTCATGTCTTGGCTGTGATGAGGCAGAACCACCTCGGCCGAACACCTCCTGAGATCCCTGGAAGAAGAGATAGGAGGAACTCCAGCCTCTACTGTGCCTACCATCGAGATGTTGGGCACGAGACCGAAGACTGCAACGAGAGAGATCGAAAACCTAATTCGGCAAGGACATTTGAAACAATTTGTCTGCAAAGATGGAGGCTTCGGACGAAGTGCCTCCCACCGGGAGAGCCGAGGTCCTCGCCGAGAAGACAGGCGGGACACCAAGCTCAACTGCCGAGGTTCTGAGGACCATAAGGGGATCAAAGGCCTCCCGCGATGGATCACCAGGCTACGGCCCAAACATTGCCGGAGTGATTAACACCATCTCAGGTGGCCAACGGGAGGAGATAGCCAGAACTCCCGGAAGCGGATACCGCCAAGCCGGCATGGATGTGGCCGAGCCGAGCTCGAGACTGTCCGAAGTGATAACCTATGGTCCTCGAGACCCTGTCCCCGCTGCCTCCAGCAATCACGAGACCCTCGTGATTGAAGTCCTCACAAACAATTACATAGTCAAAAAAGTCTATGTTGACCCGGAAGCTCGGTAGACGTCATGTACTATCGAACCTTCGAGAGTTTGAAGTTGACCCAGGAGCAACTCACTCAGGTCAGAACTCCCCTTGTCGGCTTCGGGGGACACGTTGTCCACCCGGAGGGTATGGTGAATTTAATGGTAACTATCGGGCGTCATCCCCGATGCCGAACTGTGCCTGTCAGCTTTGCTGTGGTCAGAGCGGATTCTCCTTACAACATGCTGATAGGCCGCCCCTCAATGCCTTGAGAGCTGTGTACTCAACCTACCACTTGAGTTTCAAATTCCCGACACCTGCTGGGGTGGCCGAAATGAGCAGCGACGTGGGTGCCGCGGGAGTGCTACCTCGCCACCATTCAAGCAGCCGTTGCATCTCGGCCCTTGCCGAGGTCAGAAGAAAAGAGGCCGGCTGTTCTCTCCATAGACTGCATTGACTCTAAAAAGGCTGGAGAGCCCGGCAGACTTGAGCCCGGGGATGAGGTGGAGCAAGTGGTCTTGGATGAAGCCAAACCTGACCAAGTGGTCCAAGTAGGGCCGGACTCCCCTCACCCTGAAAGAAGAAATGATCTCCCTGATCAAGACCACCGAGACATCTTCGCGTGGTCCGCAGATGAAGTGGTCGGAGTGCCACCCGAGCTCATGACTCACCAACCTAACGTTAACCCACAGGCCCGACCTGTGCGGCAGAAGCGAAGGCACTTCGGCCCCGAACGCAGCAAGGCCATATCGGACGAGGTCGACAAGCTCTTGACGGCCAAGATGATCCACGAAGTCCAATATCCCACCTGGCTGTTCAACCCAGTTATGGTCAAAAAGGACACCGGTGGATGGAGAATGTGTGTAGACTTCACCGACCTCAATAAGGCCTGCCCCAAAGACTGCTACCCTCTCCCGAGGATAGACACCCTCGTCGACTCGGCGATGGGTATGAGATCCTCTGCTTCCTAGACGCCTTCAAAGGGTATCATCAGATAGGAATGAATGAAGAGGATCAAGAGAAAACGGCGTTCTACACTGACCGAGGTACTTACTGTTATACTACCATGCCCTTCGGACTGAAGAACGCCGGGGCGACCTACCAAAGGCTGATCAATCGACTCTTCAAGAATCAAATCGGCCGCAATGTAGAGGCCTATGTAGATGACATCCTCGTCAAAAGTCTCGCCACTTCATCTTTTCTGTCCGACGTGAAGGAAGTCTTTGGTGTCCTGCGAGACTCACGGATGAAGTTGAATCCCAAGAAGTGCGTCTTCGGCGTCACCTCCGGAAAGTTCTTGGGGTATATGGTTTCCCGCCGGGAATCGAGGCCAACCCCGACAAGGTCAAGGCTATTCAGTACATGTCTCCACCTCGGAACCTCCGAGAAGTCCAAAGACTGAATGGACGCCTGGCCGCGCTGAACCGCTTCTTGTCTCAATCTGCTGAGAAGGCCCTGCCCTTCTTCAAAGTGCTGAAGAAGTCCGATCAGTTCGCCTGGACTGAGGAGTGTCAGTCTGCCTTCGACCAGCTGAAGCAGTATTTGCACCACCTGCCCACTCTCGCTTCACCTCGGCCCGAGGAGAAGCTCTACCTCTACCTCTTTGCAGCCAACGAGGCTGTCAGCGCTGTGCTCATCCGGGATGAGGGCACTCAAGTGCCAGTCTACTATGTCAGCCGAGCCCTCCGCGGGCCGGAGACTCGTACACTCAGGTGGAGAAACTGTGCTGGGGTTAGTCCACGCAGCTCGGCGATTGAAGCCCTACTTCCTCGCCCATCCTATCTCCGTCCGGACCGACCAGCCCATTCGGCAAATATTGGTGCGACCCGAAGCTTCTGATCGCCTCACCAAGTGGGCTGTCGAATTGGGAGAATATGACTTGTCCTACGAGCCACGCACCGCCATAAAAGCTCAAGCTCTGGCTGACTCCTTGCTAAGCTCACCTTCACGGAAGGTCCGGAGTCCACCTCAGCCTTAGCCGAGGTGCCCACCCCCTCCCTGTGGACATTGTATGTGGATAGATCCTCTAACGGAGACGGCAGCGGAGCCGGACTTCTCCTGGAAGGACCTCAGGGGAGGTGTGCTCCTACGCCCTCCGCTTTGGCTTCCAAGCCACCAATAATGAAGCCGAGTACGAGGCCTTAATTGCTGGACTCCAGCTGGCCGAAGGCTCGGCGCCCAGCAAATCCACGTCCGCAGTGACTCCCAACTTGTTGTGCGCCAAGTTCTTGGTGAATACGAGGCTAAGGATGAGACCATGCGACGGTACCTCTCCAAGATTCACCAACTCACCGCGTACTTCACGTATTTCGAAATCCAAAGAATACCCCGGTCAGAGAATAAGCGGGCCGACGCCTTATCCCGGCTGGCTTCCACCTCATTCTCTGACCTCAACAAGACGGTCTTGGTGGAAGTGCTGGATGAACCAGGATACGTGGAAGAGGTGGCCTGCCCCATTCACTCTGAAGATACCTGGATGACCCCATTCATCCTTTTCTTGAGTCAGGGAACCCTTCCCGAAGACCGAACCGAGGCGAGGAAGATACAACGCAAGGCTGCTCGGTATGCACTCCGTGATGGAGAACTGTATAAGCGCTCCTACCTTGGCCCCTGGTTGAGGTGCGTCACCCCCGAGACCGGACGTCATGTCCTCCACGAAATCCACGAAGGTCTGTGTGGAGCTCACGTCGGCCACAGGATGTTAGCCAAGAAGACTATGCTCCTTGGATACTTCTGGCCATCACTTCGGCAAGACTCCCAGGACCTTGTTTCTTGGCTGCCCTTCCTGCCAAGTCCACGCACCCGAACACCACCAACCTTCAAACTTCATGGTCCCCATCACTTCACCCTTGGCCGTTTGAGCAATGGGGGACAGACATCATAGGTCCTTTCCCTAAAGCCGTCGGGGGTTATACCTTCCTGGTGACCGCTGTGGACTACTTCATTAAGTGGGTCGAGGCCGAGCCACTTCGGACCATCTCAGGGTTGGCCATTCAAAAATTCTTTTTGGAAATGCATTATCTGCCGCTTCGGCATACCTCAGGTCATCATCTCGGACAATGGGAGACAGTTTGCCGAGAACCCCTTCAAGACCTGGTGCGAGACCCTCGGCATCAAACAACACTTCACTTCGGTAGGCCACCCTCAGGCCAATGGTCAAGCAGAGAACTTCAACCGAACTCTCCTACACGGTCTCAAGACCCGACTACACCGAGTTGGGTCATCTTGGGTGGATGAACTCCCCAGTGTCCTGTGGTCGTACCGGACCACGCCGAGGTCAGCGACCCAAGAGACCCCATTCTCCCTGACCTACGGCGCCGAGGCTGTCATCCCGGCTGAGATCCTTACCCCCAGTCCTCGGCTGGCAGCCTATGCCGCCGAGGTGAACGACGAAGAGAGGCAGTTGGATCTCTACCTCGTCGAAGAACGAAGGGAGCTCGCCTCAGCCCGGATAGCTTCTTACAAGAACACACTGGCACACTATTACAATGCCCGCGTCAGACACCGTAGATTCTAACTTGGAGACTTGGTTCTCAGGAAAAACTCAGTCAGCCGAGCTGAACCTCAAGGAAAACTGTGCCCGAAATGGGAAGGCCCTTATCGAGTTGTGCAATCTGATCCTAAAGGGTATTGTAAGCTGAGTTACCGAGATGGCTCATTAGTGCCGAGGTCTTGGCACGCCGAGAATCTCAGATTGTATTATGTTTGAAATTTTAATCAAGTTATGACTTCGGATATTGTATTATTTTTCAACATCGTTATTACACTATCAAAAAATAAGGGGGACAAGCAAGGGATGAAATCAAAGCAAAGCAAGAAATTAAAGAGTTGAGATGAGAAGAAATAGACTTTCATTCAACAGAGGTGTTACAAAAAATACAAGGCCGAGGTCAGAGTGCTGCTCAACACTTCACCTCGGCCACCCCTTAGAGACTACGAGCCTAAACCCCCGTATCGGCTGCATCCCCGGTCTTGGCTCCCTCCTGGGCATCCTTCTTTTCGACCTCCTTTCCGCCGGGGTGAACTTCATCTCCAGACTCTTTGCCGACGTCCCCTCCGACTTCGCCCCCCCGGTTTCGTCTCCCCCGGCATCCTCTCTTCCAGCTTCTTCCTCTTCAACCTCCTCGAACACTTCGTCGAGTTCGGACAGCCACTTGTTGAACTCGACCTGGATTTCGGCCAAGTTCCTTCCTGTCTGGATGCCTTCGGCCATCCGATCGCATAGCTCCTTGAAGTCCTCGTTATAGCTGGCATGGTTTTTCAGAGACTCCAAAACTTCGGAGGGGAGGTGAGCCGCAGCCTCATCTATGGCTGAGGTAAAGCCAAACATGAAGTTCGGTGTGAGTAGCTGCCCGAGATCTTTGATGAAGGTCTCGGACCTTCGAAATGTGTCCACCGCCGAGGCCCCAGCACTGTTGAGGGCTTGTTCATGGGACTTCTTCACCTCCTCCCCCTCTTCTGCTCTTCCTCGAGGGCCGATCTGAGGCTGTTGACAGTGGCCACGGCCTCCTCATCTTTCGTCTCGGCCTCCTTAAGCCGCCTTTCAAGCTCGGCCTTCTCAGACTCGGACACCGCCAATTTTTTCTCCAACTTGGAGATCTGATTCTGTAGCTTGCCGGTGTCCTGCTCATCGACCAGAGCACAATATCGGTGTGTTATCTCGGCCGCAAAGGCTGAGGTGGAAGCCGTGGTCACCATAAGACTTTGCACCAGCTCGACGGGGAAAGCTTCTTCATGAACTCCAAATCCCTTGGCAAGGGGGAGTGCATGACTAGTTCTCGGGCAACCCGAGGATTCTGGCACCTGTCGTTGACCGAAATCTTCCAGTCCGGACACCAATGCCCGCCGGGGTGCGTCTTATCTTCTCCGGGAAACACCGGGGGGCTATGGAAACGATTCCATAGCGAGGTCCCCGAAACTGGATTGACCGGAACCTTTAACTGCTTGCCTCGGCCATGAGGAGGCGGAAGTGCCGCGACGGCTCCAAAGGGCACCCCCTCTGGCACAGACGAGGTGGACCCGGTAGCCGCGGCGGCTGAGCTGCTTTGGCCTGCCGGGGTGGGAGTACTTTTGGCTGCCGAAGTTTGGATAGCCAATCCTGGTGACTTCTTCTTCCTCGGCGGAGGGGCCGACGTCTCGTCCGAGCTCTTCCTTTTCTGCCTCTTGGCGACTTCGGATGAGCCAGAGACGACGATGTCGGACAGTTTAGTCACTGCATCAGAAACAAATATTATCATATGACTTAGCCGAAATAAAAAGAAAAGTCATGAAAGAAAAATTACAAGGTTTCTTAAGTTCAGTGGAAAAGAAGGGAGCTTTGGTAGTATTGATCACGGCTCGACTTATCCCCCCATCCACGAGCACGGATTCGGGTAGTCATGGCTGAACAGCCGAAGTCCCGACTTCATCAGCTTCTGGAATGACTCCTCTTCGGCATCCCCCGCAGAGGGGTCGGCCTTCGCCTTAATTGGCCTCCACCAAAAACCCCTCGGGAAGTCCACTCCGGACACGAAAAAGTAGTCGCGCTTCCAGTTCTTGATCGAGTTGGGAGCACCGATCACCAACTTCGGGATGGCATTGTTCCGGTTGCCAACATAAAACCATCCCTTATCTGTCGCGTGCGCCTTGAGGGTGTAGCATCGGCGGAAGAGATCGACGGAGGAATTACCTCCTGATGTCGGCACAGCATCTCAAACCCCACAATGATGCGGATCGCATTCGGGGTGAGTTGGGTGATTCTCACCCGGAAGTGACGAAGTAAGTCCCGGAGGAATCTCGACGTCGGCATCCTCAGCCCGGCCTCCAGCTGTTGAACGTAGATGGCCACCATGCCAAAGGGGGGCTTCGCGGCTGTGTCATCCACCTCGGGCGGTAAAATTTCGTACCACGGCCGGAAGGGGTACTTGTCTACCACTTTCACGGCCCTATCTCTTCCTACGCGACTCCTAAACTTCGGCATCTGGCCGAAGTCGATGCTGGCTGCGTCCACTGGAGCAACTGGCTCCGGTACGCCCTCGTCATGGGGTATCTCGGTCCCGAGCTCGGTATTGTATTCGACCTCGGAACCACCCTCGCTCATCTCGGACGATTCCAATCCCGAGCCTGCCTCGCCGACTCTCATTTCGGTTGATCCTTCTTCAGAACTCGGCGTCGACCCCTCAGGACTGGACGTTGTCGCTTCTTCTTCCGGATCTGGCCTCACCTCGGCCTGGTAGCTCGGGGTCACAGTTTCTTTATGGGTTTTGACTGTTTTGGCCATGAGTGAAAGACGAAATTAGAAAGAAAAAGGGATACTTACTATTAACTAAGATATCGGACGGTGAAGACTTCGGCGATGATCTTGGCTGATAGAACTGACCTCGGCTACGCTCACGAACTCTACAAGTATTGGATGAACGTGAAAGTGATGGGCCATGCGGTGAAAAGGACCGTCTATTTATAGGGGTTTGGGCTGGGATCCGAAGAGGCGGCAAGAATGCGAAAAGACAACCACGTTTGAATTCAAAACGCCACGCCTCCCTCTGTCCTCATTAATACCCCGTCCTTTCGACTGACACCTTCTGCACGAAACGTCCCACTACTTCACGACGCGACGGTTACCAGTGACCACGTCCTATCAACTGATTCGCCCACGTGTCACGTCCCCGCATCTTCCGGAGTAGTTTTGGGACCCCGACTCTTCACGACTTCGGCACAAGGAAGCCTCGGTACCTCCCTGGCCCGAAGCCCCCGAGGCTTGGGGGGCTTATTGAGGGTGCTCACCTCGGCCACCCCGCGTGTCCGAGGTGAAGTCACCTCGTCCCTCTTCAGAGTCCATCCATGTCTTGGGCATCGTCCCTGACCTCGGCCGGATCCGTAGTCAATCGTGTAGGTGACCTCGGCACCTCTACCTCGGCTGCACGCTGATGATGTCAACCCATCTGACATCATCCAGGACCAATACTTTATCTGAAAAGTACTGGGAGCACTTAATGGCACATGCACCATATCCTCCGTCATCACTCTCAGGCGGCTACAGTGTCAGAGTCAAACCTTCCTGACAGAAGATAGAGCCGTAATGTCAGAGTGGGTCCCACTAACATGAGTCCAGAGCCTCGCCTCTACTCTCCTATAAATACCTCACTCACACTCCCACCAAGTAAGCATACACTGTTCATTAACTCATATTCTCATTATTCTCGTTCTCATACTAACTTGATCGTCGGAGTGATCCCAGGGGAGAAGCCCCGCCATCCACTTCGGACAAGAGGTTGACTTCGGACACAAGAGTTCACCTCACCTCACCTCAGAGAGGACTGATTCAGGTCGGCTCCGTTACCAACCAAAATCACCTCTTCAGATATCATCAATTTTATTTCTTTCTTTAGCTCATTTTTACAAGAAAAATTCTCCAATTTTTCGAGTCAATGTCTCTTTAAAATGAATATATCATACACAATAGAAAGATAATTTACAAATTTAAACGATATAAACAAAAATAATGAAGCACTACTCTGATTTTTGTTTGATTACATATACACTCCGGCATTACTGCAGGGAGTTAAATCTACTTGTGAAAACCCTAGATAGTGAACCACAAGCAGCCTTTACTTTTTCAATATAAAGATGTCATTTATTAGCAGAGCAATTAAGTGATCTTTTCGGGGCCATAGTCTTCGTTGACTCAAATTGATCTTTAGAAATGGAACTATATCGCTAGGAGGAGATATCTGAGTCTTTTTTATTTTCTTTCCTTTTTCCCTTTTCCTTTGAAAGTAGATTTCGAGTCTTCAATAGCTAACACAGCTTGTAATTAACAAGGTGGTGTAGTTGCTGGTTACTGGCCAGTTAGAATGAGAAAACTGCATGGTATGTCTCAAAACCCAATTCAACTGTTGAAAATATTAATCAAAGTTATGCATTGTTTGGATTGCATTTTTATGAATTTTCTGTGGAAAAATTATTGTAGCGATTTGATATATGTGAGGTAAAAAGGTGATTGGAAAATATGTTCACGAAAAACATAACAATTTTTCTTTAAAAAATTGCTGTCCAAACAGGGCCTTAAGTTTCTGATTCGACTCTTGAACCTTTTTTTACGTACCCTTCTTTCTTCATAAGACACGGAAAGTTGTTTGAACAAAAAGAGAGAAATCACAAGGGCATTTTAGGAGGTTCATTGTTCGTTGATGCAAAACAATTAATGCATTCGGACTTTTCAAAGTGACTTTTATCCATTAACTGACGCATTCCAACTTTTCAAAATCCTAGTTTTTTAATCTATATATGAATTGAGAAACGGAACAACTTTACTTGGAGGAGGCTTCAAGTTTTCTTTTCTTTTTTTTTTTCCTTTTAAGTCTTGACATAGACTCATTGTCACAAACATAGAGTAATGCATACGGCTTGGAGAAAGTTATTGTTTACTAATATTATGGGATGATTACTGTCAAATTGAAATGAAAATATTAGGTAGGTTATTCATTTTATGAGCGCGTAGACCCCTCGAATGGACTAATGAGTAGTGAGTACCGAGTC